ATAAATTTAACAAAAGAACAAAAACTATAAAACATTATTGAAAGAAACTAAAGAAAACTTAAATAAATGTAAAGAAACCCCATGTTTATGAGCTAAGGTACAGTTGAGTGTTACAGAGACTAATGCTGTTCCCTGAAGGCTACAATGAAAGTTTGCTTTTCCACTTCCCAAAGTAATTATTCTCTCTGTTTCATCTCCCATAATCACTCAAGTACTGATCTCTGTGACTTCTTCACAGATAAAAGCCACGTAGGAGGTACTTCTGCATTTCTTAGCTTCAATCACATACCTAACTTACCGTATCTTCATTTGTTCTGAGCTTCTTTTTATTAACCTGGAAAAAGTATTTGTGCCTATGAACAGCTCCTCCTATTCAAGGTTCCCTAGACCTTTTGCCCCCTTTCTTTTTTTTTTTGGCCTCTTTAATCATCTTTTTCTTCTTCTTCATCAGTCCCTTTTCATCTCTATTGGATCATTACCATTAGCATCTTTCATCCTAAAAAGAAAACCCCTGGACTCCACATCCACCCCGTGTAAATGCCACTGTTCCATTGTTCCTTTCTCTCTCTCTCTCTCTCTCTCTCTCTCTCTCTCTCTCTCTCTGAAAGCCAGAAGTCAACATCAGTTGTCCTCAGGAGCCTTCCACACTGATTTTTTGAGGCAAGGTCTCTCACTGGGACTTGGGGGATCACCAATTCAGCTAGGCTCACTGGCCATCGAGCTCCAGGAATCCACCTGTCTTCTCCTCCCCAGTGCTAGGATTAAAACCATACGCTGTCACACCAACGTTTTTAAAATGTGGGTTCTGGAGACCAAACTCAAGTAACCACTTTACCAATTGAGCTTCTCTCTCTCTCTCTCTCTCTCTCTCTCTCTCTCTCTCTCTCTCCAGCCTCTCCTTGATTTTCTATGTAACAAAGCTTTTGAAACAAACTAGCTCCACCTCCTCATCTCTTTTTTTCCCTCTTCATCTCTTTTTCACTCAAAATCTACTGGAGCTGGGTTTTTATTACACTCTATTATTAAAATTACTCATGTCTAGACCACCAGTAATTGTATGTTGCTAAATCCATTAGATTTAGAAACTTCTTTGTCTTTATTTTTCTTTTTTAAAAAAATGTTTTTTATTTATTTTTTATTTGATGTGTATGAGTGTATTGTCTGCATGTATATAAGTGTACCCATGTCATACAATGCCCATGGAGGTCAGAAGAGGGCATTGGATACCCTAGAAATGGAATTATGGGCAGTTGTTAGCTGCCACGTGGGTGCTGAGAACAGAACTTGGGTCGTGCTCTTAACCACTGAGCCATCTCTCCAGCCCCCATCTTTATCTTCCTTTAACTCTATTCAGCACAGATGATCACTCTGTCCTTGAAACACACCTCCTCCAGTCCATCACTGCAGCCTGTCAGTTGTAGAACCAAATTCTAAACCATCTATTTCCATCTGTAGTCCCATTATCTTAGTGATACCCTTCACCTTGCCTGAATTAAAAGCATTATACTCATAGCGGCAAAATGATATGCTCCTAATTTGGTCATTTTATATATATATTAACTATCTGCCATTCTTCTGGGAAAAAAGTGGGGGAAGTGGCTTTCCCTTTTATAGAAAAACCAAATGGTTAAATTTTTTAAATGTGCTAAAATTAGGAACAAAGTTATAGGTGTTTAGAGCTGAAAATATGTGGAAGCCAGACATAAGCAAATAGTATTTGGCAGGTCTTTTGAACTTCAATATTTTTGGGGTATTGGGAGACTCGCTCTGGCCTTGGCAGAGTGTATGGTGAATAACAGTTTAGCTTCATGAGGTAGAGTTCAGAGAGAGGAGTTCTCTGGTTCTAGCTTGGACCTAAGAGCCCAGTCCTGGACCCTCTTTTGAGTAGAGGTAGACCACAAATGCCACAAATTTTGGCACTGGAGAAAGCCCACGGTTAACCTGGGTAGTTTTTTATGACACACCAGACATTGTAGGTCTTCTCATTCTCAAGCCAAATGCATACAGGGATTCACATGGTAATAATAAAATCTTTAATTCTACTCCAATGTTACATTGTCTTATTTTTCTGCATTTTCCACTAGACTAGAATCTTTTTGAAGACAAAAACAGTATCTATTCCACTCACCATTGAACATTCACAGACTCATACACATTAGGGTTATTATAGCTACACATACTGACAAAATGAATACAGATCAGGGAGACGTGAACAAAAAATTTAAAAAAAAGAAGCCCAGCACACTGAAGAAACAGATTAAAGGTTTTATAAGGTAGCCCAAGAAATTTGATATTTTGTAGATGGGGGCAGGTCAGCTAACACTTTTCAATAGAAGTAGTTGTTTTCTTATATCTATATTCACAAGTGTCTAAGGCAGGATTTATATTTATTTTATCATGGAAAATGTTTTTGTAAACTATATCTGATTCTGTGAGATTTAAAAAAAAATTTTATATGTCTGCAATTTGGCTGATTTTTAGTCACACTGGCAAGTCACAGAAATGAAAGTAGTGGAAGCTTCCGTCCCGGCCTGACAAGTTACTCTGATTTTTCTTTAAAGCAGATGTACACAACAATGAATGTGAATTGTAAAAGACAAAGCAAGTTAAAATGAATCCAAAAGCTTTGCTAACATTGCAGGGGAAAGATAGCTGGGTCTCCCTGCCTTGGCTCATAGTTCAACCTTGGAGATCATTGAAGTCACAGAAAAATTGATCAAGCTAATATTGGTGCTGTAAATGCAATTCAGAAAAATTACAAGCTCGTATTATGGAATAATTGATATAGAATGTGAGTTGTCCTAGCTCCTTTTCTACACTTACACTTTCTTAGGGCAGGCTCTTTTAGTGTGCTAAGAAAGACTATTTATATTCAAGTTAATTAGCGAAAGGTCTCCGATCTGAATTCTGTAAGGCTGAGCTACAGTCAAGGTTTTCACCATGTTAGACAGCAGAGAACAATACTAGATCTGTACAAAGAAGGAAAATAGAACAACATGAAACTGGAGAAAAATATTTTGTACCACATCTGAATTTGGTATGTATTTTTTGAGGGCTACTGACAGGATCGATGACAAATTAACTCTGGAATAGTATGATCTGCCAATGGAGTGCACCTGAACACCATTACAGACTTGAAGGAGCACAGTAATGATCTCATGCAATAAATCCAGTGGCTGAAGAGACAAGTAGGTAAGTGTCAAAACAAAAAATATGACTGAATCTCAACAGTGTGTGCATTCCAAACTAATACATCTGAACTTGGACTAAAAATGGATACAACCTCCTTTGAATGTTAAATGGAGCTTTGCAGGAATTTTACTTTTTTTCATTGCCAAAGATTTTTGTGTTGCATAAATGGTGGAGAGGGGGAGCATCATTTACATGATGGAAGTCACCAGAATTTCCTATCAGGTGGTTATTTCTGTGGAGGAAATACTCAGTGCTTAATGTTGCTCATAATAAGGCCCCCTTTCCAGTTTTAGCTTCTCACTCCAGATTTTTGCACCAGCCATACAGAACTAATTCATGTTTCTAAATTAGTTAGATTTTCTTCCAGCCACCCTGCATTACTTAACATCCAGTTAAATGCCAAGTTTTCTTCCCCAATTCTTCCTGGGATTTGTATAAGTTGTTGCCAAGCAAATTGTCCTTCACTTCCCTACCCCTTGACTAAATACTTGAGTTAGGATGATGTCACTTCTAAGAAACTATGCAGAATAATAAAACAACTATAGTGTACTAAGAGCTTAGTAAGGGTCAGACACTCTCCTAAGCTCTTTCAAATGTATTAAGTTTGGTATTTGTCAAGAAAATTGCAGGAAATGGGTATGATTTCCTGGTTCCTGGGCGAGGAAACTGAGGCAGGAGGCGATTTCTAAGATGGCGTTAGAAAAACGAGCCAGGAAGTTTGTGGTAAAGAAGGGAAAAGAAGGCAGCAATTGCTGTGGGAGGTGTTATTGCGGGACTATGATGTCACTTCTAAGAAACTATGCAGAATAATAAAACAACTATAGTGTACCAAGAACTTAGTAAGGGTCAGACACTCTCCTAAGCTCTTTCATGTATTAAGTTTGGTATTTGTCAAGAAAATTTCAGGAAATGGGTATGATTTCCTGGTTCCTGGGCGAGGAAACTGAGGCAGGAGGCGATTTCTAAGATGGAGTTAGAAAAACGAGCCAGGAAGTTTGTGGTAAAGAAGGGAAAAGAAGGTAGCAATTGCTGTGGGAGATGTTATTGCGGGACTAGAGGATAATACGGTGATTAAGGATTCTGCTGGGATCATTTGATCGAGCAAGCAGCTTAGAGCAGATAATTTAAAAAGAGAAAGTGATTGCACTGGTGGTTTCTGTAATTAATGCAGCCTGATAGCAGCTTGCCCCAGGCAATACCCTGGAAATTGGGCTGAAGCGGAAGGTGTTTGCAGTCCTCTAGCATCCTGAACAGCAACAGCCAACATTTCTACAGAGCTGCTGAATAAAATCCGATAGAAGGCAGCCCTTCTGGGCTAGCCCCGACTGAATTCTGCAAATCCTTGCTTTAATATCTTTGTCCTAACAGGATGAACATACTCTGTGTGAGGTCCAGGGCTCTTCTAAGCTCCCTAAGCCTGGGGGCAGTTGGAGCCCAAGCAGTCTTCTCTGAGGGGCAGCTACATCAGGGTCTCTCCAGTAAAGGACGGAATCATTAGGTCCCCACCGAAGAGAATCTGCCTCAAAATAGACGCAGAAGGAGTAGTGTGCCGTGATGCACGCCAGCTTGAGACCAGCCCGCCAGCATCGACATCGGCATCAGCATCAGCATCAGCATCAGCATCAGCATCAGCATCAGCATCATCAGCATCCCAAGTCGGTTGGCCGGGGATCACTCTACAAGGGTCCCTCAGAAGCAGGGCCAAGAAGCGGCTTCCGGTCGGGGAGAGGAAGGGCCTTGCCCAGGGCTGCAGCAGGAAACCTCACCTCCCACAGACTTCGTGACCAGAAGGCGAAGGCGCCAAAGTCCACGAGCCTCGCGCCCAGCCTGAGCTCAAGTGCGCCGAGAGGCGGCAAAAGTGGCGGGAACCGGCTCTCTGCCCCGCCCACTAGCTACGGATGGGGGCGTGGTCCGGACCAGCCCCGCCCACAGCAAGCGCGGCCTCAGCAACCAGCGCAACACAACGAAATGGCCGCCGTGCCGCAGTTCTCTTGAGGGGAAGCAACCGCGCGTCTCCGCGTCGTCTCGTCAGCGAGGCTGTTCTGCTCGGCTCTGAGGCGGTGAGTGTCCGGCTCCGGCGAGCTGAGCTGGGGCTTGTGCACCAAGCCGTGAGGGCGGGCGGCCCGGCCGGGAAGGCCTGGACCCCGCGGGAGGTGGGCCGGTCGGGAGGGATGGGGCGGGGGCGTGTGCGTGGACCCGGGATTGGACGAAAGGATGGGCGGGGGGACCGGCGGGGCTGGTGAACCGGGAGCGGAGGTCGGGGGACTGAGCCCCGGGGAGTCGGGGAACTGAGAACCGGGGTGGGGGACTGAGCACCGGGGCGTGAGGGGACTGAGCCACCTGAGTGTGGGGGGACTGAGCACCTGGGTGCGGGGGGACTGAACACCGGGGTGTGGGGGACTGAGCACCGGGGTGGGAGGACTGAGCACCGGGATGTGGGGGGACTGAGCACCGGGGTGGGAGGACTGAGCACCGGGTGTGGGGAGCTGGGGAGGTTGGGGTGCTGCGTCCTGCAGGATGAGGGTCCTTCACAGGAGGCGGCCGGGGCCTGGTGTGCAGGTGTTGGCCTGGGAGGGCCTGGGGTGGAGGTGGGCTGCGTACCCCAAGGGTGACATGGGACGGGATAGCTTGAGGAGGATGTGGGGGACAGAATGCTAGGAGAGGAAGAGCAAACGCTTTGTGGTGTGGTTGAGAGCAGTGAATGTGGAAGCCAACAGACAGGGGTTAAGCTTCATTCCACCACCTCGCATTACTTAACCTCAGCTCTGTGGCTTTGAGCATGTGACTTAACCCTTTCCTGATCATGTGACTTCATAAAAGTAATAGCTAATCACCGTTGAGTATTCCCCATGTGTCAGATACAGTTCTAAGTACTTGGAGGTATTCAGTCATTTGGAATTTAAGTTAACTATGGAACATTAGCATCTGGATTTCAAATGACATAGTAGTGTGCAGATAACATCAGGTTAAGTCATTTGCCTAATGTCATATATGAAAAAGCAGGATTTTAGCTTAGGCCATTGGTTCTAATTATGGCTGTCACTTGTGGAACAATTCTCATCTTACATGGCATCTTAATATTTTTGGTGTGTTATCCTGGCCCTTTGTGTCAAGTATTTTTATTGCTTACACAGCAACAGAGAGCTGCCTCCTGCTCTCTTTACATTATAGTCTGGAAGGAGAAACAGAAAAAGCAAGTATTTTCACAGGAAATTTAATTCCAATTGTATGAATGTTTATAAGGCACACCATTTGGTGCAGAGACTGTGTATATATAGTACAGAGATAGCATTCTCTTGTACATTCTGAGTGTAGAAACCCTTAGGTCTGTGGTCTCACAGTCTTACATAGTCCTAGCACATCAAAGTTGCTCCATAAAATTGGATAATTTAATGGAAAGGGATTGGAAACTTGAGTTTTCTGTGTTGAGATGGGAGAGAGAAAATAAAGTTGTAAACAGATGGAGGAAGACATAGGGGCCAGGCTGTTAGAATGGAAAAGGCAGGTACGTGTATGGTTGGGTTGAGATAAAAGTGAATGGGTAAAGATCTGAGCCTGCTGTTTGGGGAATAATTGTAGATGAGAGTGTTGGAATGGACTAGGATGTCTGAGTACTTGCTGGGTTGAAGAGAAAAGCAGTTGGTGAAGACCCAGTGGATACAGAAGTATAAGGATAAAGTACTAGAAAGAATCATAGAGGAAGAGGGAGGCTATGGCATTTGAGACCCGAGACAGAATTTGTGGGAAAACTTTCCAAATCCGAAGATCATGAAAAAATAAAGCAGGAGGCAGAAGCACAAGAATGGGGCATTGCCTTCTTAGAAGAACTGTGACTGGGTTAGAGGCCTAGGAGGAGGATGGGAGTAAAGACGGCTTCAGAGGCTAAAGGGAGTGTTAAACTAAGTCAGAGGGTGTGAAATAAAGGAGAATCAGAGGAGGAAGGTACTGAGATTAGGAGAAAGGGTCGTGGGTTGTTAGATCAGGGCAAGGATCTGGATTTGTGGGTGGCAGGATGAATAGTGTTTTATACCTTGGTCGTATAATTCTGTCACAGCATTCCAGTGGCTTTCTCTTGCTCTGCAGAAAATATTTAAAAGTGACTTTCTAACTCAGAAATTCCTTTGATTGTTTTCAAACTTCAACCCATTGCAAACAACTACTTTTAGGGTCAAACTGCATTCCTGTTTCTCCCTAAAATTATTTAAGATTGACTGCTAGGCCATAGTCTCTGAAATAATTGCCACCCATTCTCAAACACTGTAATCCCCAAATCTGGTTCACTGGGATTGCTAATTTATGAGATAGCCCGTGATTCAATTTCGAGACTTTAGAGAGCCATGGTAACTCAGGGAATGGATATGAGACTTCACTGTGACCATCACTTAATTCAGGTTACAGTTCATAAAAGGAAGGGGTTGGTCTACACTTCTGGACTCCATCTAATATTTTTCTCATTCTACAAATGAAGAAGCATGAGTCTTACTAATCAGGAGAGGTAACCAAGGACCTCATGATAGTTTAGTGAGGTGATCATTAGGATGTGACCAGAGGAATTTTGAATGGTTTAGAATTTTGAGGATTTGGAGAGAAGACTTAAGATGCAGGATACAAAATAATTGCATTGCATAGAGATACAGAGTACTTTTAAAAAGCACTTTAAAAAAAGTAAAAATGTAAAGTGTATCTGTAATATATATTATGTATTATCCAATTTTTATAATCTTCAGTCACACTATGAGATTAGAAAGAAGATAGAAAAGAGGGGCTGGGGTCATCACTCCGTGTTTTGTTTTTCCAAATTTTTTGCTTTTATGAAAGCGATAATCTATAAGGCTTATTATCCATTAATTCCTTTTACTGAGTAGCAAATAAATTCATCTAAGTGCTTGCTCTTTTCAACTTTAAGAATATTATTCAGCCAGGCGTGGTGATGCACGCCTTTAAAGCCAGCACTTGGGAGGCAGAGGCAGGCGGATCTTTGTGAGTTCGAGGCCAGCCTGGTCTACAGAGTGAGTTCCAGGACAGCAGGGGCTACAGAGAGACCCTGTCTCAAAAAGACAAAAGAAAAAAAAAGAATATTATGCATATTTGAAGGAGAATGCCAGTTTACCTTAGCATAGACTCAGTAGTGTGACCAAGAGACCCTTTTCTATGAAAAAGGTTGGTATGATGTTGGACACAAAAGCTTTTTTTAACCACACTTTTTAAAATTAGGAGCAAAAGCCTGTGACAGTGGTATAAACGGTAGTTTTGTGAGTTTGGGGGAAAGCTTTTCTGACTTGTGTGGGTAGTTACATATGAGAAAATGAAAGAAAAAGTATAGATATATGCAAGTTAGCTGTATAAAGAAGGAAATTATACTATTGGAGGGACTCATACTCTAATTTATGTGACATAATAATCAACTTGACAAAAACAAACGTAGTGTTTGTCAAATTAATGAGCTGTAAGAGTCCAGGTGATGTTTCAGTAATCCTATCTTTGTGTAACATTTTATGATTTTCCTCCAGGATTTGTTCCTGTAGTGTGTCCCATCCATTAATCCAAGTTATTTAGTGGCGTGTATTTATGGTTTATTTTCTGTTAGGCATCATGGTACTCTGTAGGACAAAGCAATACACAATCTGAACCCCAGAAAACTCATTCACCTATATGACATTGTAATGAAGTGCATGGGTTTGGGATTTATAGAAGAATACAAGTCTTGACTTACCTAATTAGTTGTGGAACATTGGGCAAAGTGACTTCTTCATCTATAAAGAGTGAAACAGTAGCGCCAATCCCTTAGAGTTATATTCAGTTCTTCCACTGTGATGATATATAATTACGTTTATCACAACATTTGGCACATGGTTAGCCATCTCTAAATATTAGCCACTGGTATTATATTCTTTAGGGTTAGTTAACTTTGATGGTAGCAAATTATCTTTTCGGGAGGCTTGGGTTTTGGGCGATAACTAAAATTCATTTGGACTCAAGTTTACTGAATAAGGTTAGTGATCAAACTAGGAAAATAAAAGCAAAACATAA